TTACATATTGACATTACATATCTATTGTCCCTGCATTTTCTTCAGATTTTTTTCAGAAATATTTAAGGATGATAGCTACGTCAATATGTTCCTATTACAAACTATATAAAATAAGAAATTATAAATAATTTCACTTCTAAACTTGTATCGAAACTCTGATTTTCCGAATATTCTCTGTTTATAGTTACATTTTTCCCAACTAGGATTTCGATTCAAAAAATTGGAAAAAATTCTCTGGTACGTGTTTCTATGGCTACAATGCGACAAATTTTTATTAACCAGTGAAAGCGGACAAAAATCGTCGGTCCTAGAGAAAGAGTGAAGCAGGCAGTTTGTTTCAACACATGGATGGTTCAAAGCCGTCGCTATCCCTTGTCCGGCGACATAGAGGCGCGCCCAATCGCGCTCATTACGGGTACAAACGAGCCGCATAGGCCACATGCGAATAAAACGAAAAGCTTGCCGGTATTAGGCTCTTGATTAGAATAATGCAACGTGCCTCGAATAACGTGTCGTGCCGCTCGACGGGGACGCGTCCGAAATGCAAATGCGCGTATGAATCAGTTAGAAGGGACACGTGGACGACAGCCATCACTGACAGAATACTTTTCATTTCGTGTAATAATGCTTTTGTTGTCTCGTGTTTCTACTTCTTCTCCAACAAATTTGGAACCTTTTTTGTTTCTAACTTGACTGACTGATTTGTTCGTAGCAACCAGAGGCATCAAGCTGGAATGACTGTTCTGCAAGTATTGGGACACTAAATTAGATGTGATCTACTAATCCAATTTCACTAAATGAGAATATCTTTCAAAATCCTGCCTCAAGACCTTGCCGCAAAACTAGGACAATTAGGCTGAAGGTTTAACATCCCTACACTCTAGCTTTATTAGAAAATCCATCCATGTCAAAGTTTTTGCTAGAGACAGTTATTTTATTTTCATTTTCTGCTGCTGTTGTCATTTCGAGACTAGAATGATTAAGCTGAAAATCTAACATCCCTGTTATCATTGGAACACTAAATTGAATCCAAACAATGACTAGAAATATCTTTCAGACTTCTTGCTGGAAGCTTTGCTTCTATTTCTTATTTATATTTTTATTTGGAGACTAGGACTGCTAAATTGAGAGTTAGGCACTCCTATTAGCAGCAGGATACAAACAATCATTAGGAAGCATCTAAATCTTCAAACATTCTTGCAAAAAGATTTGTCACGCACAAATACTTGAAAACTACAGCTCTGAATATTGAGATTGTTGTATTTGAAGCAGGGTTTGATCTTGCACAGCATCCTTTTTAACAATGGCATAGCAAACTTCACAGCTACAGACAGAAACAACACTGGTTTACCTAATCTTGTCAGAATATAAGTAAGGAGCTAAGGATGCAACATGATATAATATCTATTTTCACTGATACAGTGTTCCAATCTTTATGAACCTTTCATGAAAATCAACAGCTGAGTTTGAAACCAGAGAGAAATGGTTTTTGTAAGATCGGACCTAATGGTTTAGTCGATAGTACGTTTTTACGTTATTCGAATAAAATGTATGAAATGTGATTTTTGACTTTCATAAAACGTCAAAATTTTTTAAAATATTTCACCGTTTTAGAATCGTTCATTTTTGAGTACATTACCATTTATAACATCAAAATCTAAACTTCTACAAAAAGATCCATATTTTTTTTTCTAATTTCCCTGATTCCCCTGGATTTTATTTCTTCGTTACTAGGTTTCACAACTAAAGAAATTTGAATAACACCGAATAGTTGAAACATGCTACCTTTTGGTTCGTTAAACGAAAAAATTGTACAAAAACTTGACAATGCTCATAATTGCAGCAATGTAACAAATAGTCGAATAATGGAACAGCACAATAACGTTGCTGTAAAGCAACAACACAGCAAAGATCCTAGTTCCCCCACCTTGCAGAATTACGGAAGTTAAGATCGGCGTGTATTTGAACCGCATCCCCAGGAGATCGTGCCTAACGGAATCTATTTTTTCCCGCGGGCTATTCAGGAGCCGCTTCGATCCATTAATCAACGTTCAGAAATCATTTCTCAATGCGCGCCGATTGGTTTATCGATATCCGTTTGAATCGATCGGCAAATACGGTCTCGCCAACAGCGGCGCGGACTCTGATTTACTGGTGATCCTGCCGGCGGATGAAGAAAAATGACCGAGAGGGGAGGAGACGGAGAGGCGAGCCACGCGTGTAACGAATGTCACGAGCATTAATTCAAAATAAGCTCTACGACCCTATGCAAATCCCCCGTGTACAGGAAACCCTAAGAAGCCGTCCATAGCATGGAACGCCGCCCCGTTTCCATCGTATGATCATGCTTGACGCTTTCATCCTTCTCTTTGGGCTACTGGAGAGGCTACGGCCGAATAGAGGGGTCCAGAAATGACCCAGTACAATAAAGCTTCAACCCCTTTATCTTCTTAGGGAGAGCAGTTATGAAGGAAAATAGATACCTACAACTTTTAATTAAATTTTCAACAAAATCTGATAAACAGCAGTATCGCAATTCATGTTTAAGAATTTTTCCAAATTGGTTCAGGATCCTGTTTGTAAAAAATTAAAACGAGAAGTCAAAATTCCGTTGAATTTTGTGTAATTAGGGTTGTTAATAAAAAAAGATGGTGGAAATTGTTCGATATGTATTTTCATAGCAGCTGCGTGTCAGGTTCATTCTATTTCGAAATTCAATTAAGTGTAAGCAATGGATCAAGAGGATTGTTGATGTTATTTTTCTCTGGATAGAGTAAATGGATTTTTCAAGTTCTCGCAACTGCGTTTTTCAATCTAAACATTGCAAAAAATTGGGTATTATGTCTGAGTAATTGGGTACAATTGAACATAGATGCCTGCGTCAATTTTTTGGACAGTTTCATGAAAATGATTCAGAAATCGCTAAATTCCATTTTAACATAAAATGCGAAAATGCGAGTATCTTGTTTCTAATCTTCTATAACCACGATTTTCAACCAGAAAACTGAAAATAGTTCTCTAATGTACACCCCCTATACATGATAAATTTTAACAAATTTTGTTTCAACAAAACATACTTGTTATTACAATGACATGTAGTACAGAAGATAGGAGGAAAATAAAAAAATTCCATTTTTTTCGTAGCTATAGGAAAAAGCAGAATTCTATATTTTGGAGCATTTCCTGTAACTGTAGAATATGCAGTTTTGAGTTCGGGGGCATATTTCTGTCATCTTTGAAACTATAGAAATTCATATAGAAATTACTCACTCGATGGAAGATAGTTTTCTTTTACGTTCTCCCCTGTCGTTGTTCACATCAAACGATGCCTGATGGTCCACATACTTTTGTATCTTGTATGGTGTATGTTTTTTTTTAAATAAACATTTCGTTGCCGAGATGACCTGTTCTCGACGGTTCAATGCTACATATGCGGATGTATCAGACAACCATGATACATATACTCCTCCTGGAACAGAAACAGGAATTTATTTCATATATGTATGTTACGTTGTTGATCCTCATAGGATCCTCAGAAATGGTTACACGAAAGATCATACGATCCCATTTTTGTTGAAAACTTTAAATCAACTAATGTCAAAAAAAAAAAATAGAATTAAACGTTTACAGTACACAGAAAAATAAAAATTTGACCATTTTCACCGTATTACATGTAGAAAGAAATACAATTTTGCTCTCGTAAAAAATAAAATAATGTCTTACAATAAGATTATTAAAAATGTAGCTTACCAAAAGGGCTAAACAACTGAATAATGTCATTAATCTTCCACTCCTTCGGGAATGTTAAATGGAACACATGATCCCTGCTTGGATTCGCTGTAACAAGAGAAATTAACATCATTAACAAATTAGCATTAGATTCAATTTGGAAGAATAGGAAGTTATGTAGAAGAAACTTACGATCTTTATCCACTAAGCTGATATAGGGATAATCTTTTAATCTTGCTATAAGAAGCCTAAAACAAAATTGCACGCTGTGAGTACAGTCTTAAAACATAAATTTTGTAAAAAGAAACACACTTGTTTAAAAATGGATTCAAGAGAGGTGAGTCTGCAAGAACTATGGGCACTTCCGGTTTCTGTAAACGACCTACAAAACATAATCATTCACAATATACACACAGAAAAATAGTTAATATTTACAGTACTTCCTCAAACTACAAATACTTACCTAAGTAATTGCACAGTGCAATGAAGCATACTCCGGTTATATAGGCATCGTACCCAGCTTCGTGGCATTTCTCTACTGATGTCGAATAACTCCTACCCTCAATAGACTCTATTTCAGGAATTTCAAATGGAGCTTTACTAACCCTTTCTAATAATACATTCAAATTCGATAATGGTACATTCTCTTTAAACTCTGGCGACTCACAAAGCACTTTTGTATCTAAAATCCTGAAGAAAAAAATTAAACGATTAATTCACAATTTAAAATTGTTGTTTCAATAAATATATTTCATTAATAGTTCATATTTTCAAATCTTACCTAGGAAACAAGCTATGAACAAGAGACTTAAATTCCAAGTAACTTTCTGGTAATTGTCCGAAGAACTTGTGTACAATATGACAGATATCCAACAGCATATTATGACCGACTATCAATTTCCCCTAGAATAAAGTATAAGTTATTATCTTAATTAACCAAGCGAGGATCAGCCAACATACAGAGTCAGCAATCTTTCTCAAGAGACTACTCAAGCCAACAGCTTCCTTGATCTCCATCTTTTCTCTCTCCCTCCTCTCTGCATCCTTTTGTTCTTCTTCTTTCTTGGTCCCAGATCTCTGCACCACAAGACTGTGCCCCAAATAATCAATTTTACTTTCCACTCTCAATTTGTTCGGCCATCTCACTCTCACTTCTTGATGCACTAGCTTCCTTATGTATGCATTACACTTCTCTATCGTCATTTGTTCTGCATCAGAAGCTATGAATTTCTCTATCCTCGAGCTGGAATGATATACAGTTAAACATTATTCCATAAAATGAAATAAACAATGCTGTTGATCGCTTCACCAAATTTCTGTGATTTGAGGTTTGTCTTTTTCCGCAATGGGAATCAGTTCTGGCACTTCTTCCCTTGCTTTTTGCCTCTCTTCTAATCGTTTTACTAGCACCTCTTCTTCACTTGTCGTCAGATAAGGAATGCCTAATTTGAATAGTTTGTTGAAATCAAAGTCTTGTGCTGACAGAAATGCTATACAAGATGCTTGACACATGAACCTCGAATCTGGAGCTGTGTGATTGAGGGGTCGTGGAAAAACATAAAAGTTGTAGGATCGCTGACTGTACCTTTAAAGAAATATCACAACCTTTAAAACATAGTAATAAATAATTTAATGTGGTAGTGATGAAACGTGTAATTCAGAACAAAAACGTAAAAAAAGAAACAAAACATACTTGTTTGTATGTTTATCAAATGTGAAAACAGACAGGCCAACTTGTATAAGAAGAAAGTCCATTGAACCTGCTCGTAATTTGGTATAGTACTGAGCAGGTATGTCGAAGGCACCAGCATCAGGACCTGAATTGAGTCCTGTGAATTCTCCATCTATTGCAAGAAACGATGCATTTTTTATAACATCGTCCAATTCTGAGAGGACCTCCTGAAAATCTAAACAGAATTTA